ACAATAACAACAGTAACAACAGTAACAACAATAACAACAATAACAACAATAATAACAACAACAATAATAACAATAATAACAATAATAACAACAATAACAACAGTAACAATAACAACAATAACAACAATAATAACAATAATAACAACAATAACAATAATAACAATAATAACAACAATAACAATAATAACAACAATAACAACAATAATAACAATAATAACAACAGTAACAACAATAATAACAATAATAACAACAATAACAATAACAACAACAACAACAATAATAACAATAATAACAACAACAATAACAATAATAACAATAATAACAACAATAACAATAATAACAACAATAACAATAATAACAATAACAACAATAATAACAATAATAACAACAATAATAACAACAACAATAACAATAATAACAACAATAACAATAATAACAACAATAACAACAGTAACAACAATAATAACAATAATAACAACAATAACAACAATAACAATAATAACAATAATAACAACAATAACAACAATAACAACAGTAACAACAATAATAACAATAATAACAACAATAACAACAACAATAACAATAATAACAACAATAACAATAATAACAACAACAATAACAACAATAACAAAACAACAACAGTAACAACAATAATAACAATAATAACAACAATAACAACAACAATAACAACAATAATAACAACAACAACAATAATAACAACAACAATAACAAAACAACAACAGTAACAACAATAATAACAACACGACGTTTTACGTTTCTCACGCGCGTGCGATCACTCGCCAAGAGACGGTTTCGATTTTGGGGGTTGGGGGGAGGACTAAAAGGGGGGGGGGGACTGAGGGGGGGGATTGTGGGGGGAGGGCTGAGGGGGGACTAAAAGGGGGGGGACTGAGGGGGGGGACTAAGGGGGGACTGAGGGGGGGGGGTCGTGACGTCTGCAGGCACTGTGGGTGGTGGGTGAGTGGCGGACGTCTGCAAGAGGAGCCCCGAGGCAGCGCTCCCGTTGCTGCGACCCCTGCCGATGGGAATCTCCATCCCAGAGTGACACCCGGGTGACGATGTTAACGTCGTTGTTAACATCGTCACCCTGGTGATGTTAACATCGTCGCCCTGGTGATGTTAACATCGTCGCCCTGGTGATGTTAACATCGTCGCCCTGGTGATGTTAACATCGTCGCCCTGGTGATGTTAACATCGTCACCCTGGTGATGCGAACATCGTCACCCTGGTGATGCGAACATCGTCACCCTGGTGATGCGAACATCGTCACCCTGGTGATGCGAACATCGTCACCCTGGTGATGTTAACATCGTCACCCTGGTGATGCGAACATCGTCACCCTGGTGATGCGAACATCGTCACCCTGGTGATGCGAACATCGTCACCCTGGTGATGCGAACATCGTCACCCTGGTGAAGTTAACATCGTCACCCTGGTGATGCTAACATCGTCATCGTGGTGATGTTAACATCGTCACCGTGGTGATGATTATGATGACGATGCCGCCTGCTGAACCAGCAAAGCCTCAGGGTCCCTGCCAGGATTTCACAACACAAGAGGGGGCTGGAGAGGGCGCTGCTGCTACTGCTGCTGCGATCCACTATTGAGCGGGGAGCGGTGGCGCAATGGTGAGCGAGCTGCACTGCGTAATATGAATACAGTCCGAATACTGGAGGAATCTGATGAGCTGTAAAGCTCTTTTTCACAGATGTCCGGCTAGCTACAAACCGCCGCCCGGGTTCGATTCCCGCTCGCGGCCATCACCGGTGACGATTATCTGAACAGGCCCCCGGGCCTCCCCTAGGTCGACTCGGCCTCAAATGAGTACCTGGGTACGGTGTGTAGTAAACATCGCAACTGGGGAGACAAAGGCGGCCGGGCGTGGTGCTGGCCACCCACCCCCTGGCCTTCACAGCGCTTGCCCCAACAGTCTGTTAAGGCTACACGGGGGATCTTTGTCTTTGTTGACCCCCCCCCGCTGAGTAATCTGCAGGTCATCCCTCAGCGTTGGGATGTTTGGCCAATAGTGGCCACCAGACAACTCGGGCACAACAACACCACCACTACCGCCGCCACCACCACCGCCGCCACCGCCACCGCCGCCACCACCACCGCCGCCACCACCACCACCGCCACCCCCTGTCCGGGATCGAACCCAGGCGCTGGTGCCAACCGCCTGCGCCCCGACACCGCCACGGGGCACAGTCAGAGACTTGAAGCAGAGGAAGCCGCAGGCGCGTGGAGAATTTTTGTTTTGCTTGGCCCAAGGGGACGCAGCAGCAGCAGCACAAGGTGCTGTTGTTAGGTGGCTAGGAGATGTCATCTCCTTCGCCGGACATGCAGGAGGTCGTGGGTTTCGACCCCAACCCCTGACGCCTGCTGTATAATTGGAGTCTCTCTCTCTCTCTGTGGTGGCGTGGATTTTTTTTCTCCGGAACCTCCGGCTTCCCCCTCCACATTTAGAAGCAACGTCACGGCGTTTAGAGTGTTGGGTTGCTGCTATGTCTACGTCATGATGATAAGCCACTTCGTTGGGCTATCATTTGTGGCGCTGCCTGCTTGGAGGGTTACAGTTGAATGAAAGTGGCAACTCGCACCTCCGATTGGCACGGTTGGTTATGCACGGTGCGAAACAAGTTCAACATACACACACACTGCCCATAAATTAACACTACCCATAGACTCAACATTGCCCATAGACTCAACACTACCCATACATTAACACTGCCCAGACTCAACACTGCACCTCCGATTCGCACGGTTGGCTACGTACGGTGCGACAGAAGTTCACATACATAGACACCCGCGCGATGATCTTAGCCGATTTAAAACAACTGATGGGGCAATGGTCACGACAGCTCCCCTGGCTTCTCACACGATGCACAAGGGCGTCCTAGGAATGCGCTTCGAAGATAAAAAAAAAAGCCTCCGAAAACTAACCTCGGTTTCGGAGAGAACCAGAGAGTATAACCTCGGCTTGCTGTTCCTTAAACATATCGTTTGGTCACTCCGTATCCTCGCCTCTAAACACTGTAAACGGTTTCTCTACTCGGTCACCGAAACTAAAGTTACGCCGGGCCGCGAACACCGCCAGCCGGTCCTCAAGCGCGCTTCTAAACCTCCGCAGGGATCCCTTCGCTCGCACCACCACCGCCGTCGCCGCATTCGCGTGCGGTGTCGTGCGGTGACCCGCGCACGCATATTGGCACCATTGTTGACGATTATTTTTTGCAAACAGCGGATCCTTCCACCCTACCCTCGCTGCCCGCACCCCCCACCCCACCCCTGATGCCCCATCCTCCACCGGGCGCGTAGTGGAAATCACGTGACCAACGACTGCAAAATTACGACGCCGTAAAAGAGCGAAGGTCATCAATCCAATTCACACCCCAATCTCTCGCCACCACCACCAGCACCGCCGCCACCACCACCACCGCAACCACCACCGCCACCACCGCCCTTCTTTCACAACGGCTCCCCCAGGCATCAATCGCCACCGACCGTCCATCATCTTTCCGCCGACGAACTCCCCATCCCTCACCCTCCCCCACCGTGAACAACCCTCCACCAGCCAAGCCAGCATCTGTCCCCGAGACGCCGGTCCAGCCTGGCGTTCGGTGTGGTTCGGTGCGGTTCGGTCTGGCACGGTTCAGTCCGGAAAGGTGGGGGAGGAGGTGGCGACGCGCTGCCCAGGTCCCGGCCTGTGACGCACGCCGGAGTCGCCGCGGTGGCTGGAGATGTTAACTCCCTCGCCTGGTACGCAGGAGATCGTGGGTTTGATCCCGACCCTGACGCCTGCTGCTGCTGCTGTATGTTTGGAGTTTGCGGCTCCCTCTCTCCCCGCGGTCGCGTGGATTTTTCTCCAGGTCCGCCGGTTTTTCCCTCCACATTCGAATCAATGTCACGTGTTTACAATATTTGGCTGCTGCTATAAATATCCACACGATGAAGACGACAACGAGCCACTTGTCTGAGCTGCTGTCACGTGATGGCTGGGTCGCTTTGTAGCTCAGTGGGGCCGTCAGTGATGAGGCAGCGGACAGCCTGACGCTCAAGACAGTTCAACAAAGCCACCTCCGATGAGCACGGTTGGCTACGTACGGTGCCAAAGAAGTTCAACATACAGGAGTCCCTCGGTGAACGGCTTTTCGGTTAACGTTTCACCTCCCATAAGACCCCACGGTTCCGACTGAACGTTAACATGTTGACCCACGGTTCCGACTGAACGTTAACATGTTGACCCACGATTCCGCCTGAACGTTAACATGTTGACTCGCGATTCGTAGGTGGGGCTGAGCTGCACCCTCAGCCAACGCCCGTTCGTGAGCGACGAGACCTCGACCGGCTTTGTTGACATCGCGTCTTCTCTTTTGGCAGTGGAAACAGCCTCTCTTGCATACTCGGGTGATTTATATAAACTTACTTTTCATGCTTTTTATTAGATTAACGGTTACTTCGGTTGACAGAAGTTTCCGTGGGACGGATTAAAAACGTTAACCGAGTGAGCTACTGTACGTACACACAGACAAGCGGGGAGTCACGCACGTCGAGAACTCCCAAGGTGGCGGTGGTGGCAGCGGCGGTGGTGGCAGCCGCCTCGAACACGCGACGGGAGATTCATTACAAGCGTGCCGTCGCCGAGAGTGAAGAGGGCGAGAGTGTGCGGGGAATCGACGGTTCAGCCATGGATTCTCCGCCTGGACCGTCATCGTCCTCATCATCGTCCCCACCCCCGGATGGCACCGTGGAATCCGAGTCTTCTCGGGGGGAGGGGGGACACATTCAAACGTAAAATGTCGTGGGGTTTGACTCTCCAACGCGCAACCGCTAAATTGGCACGTTTTGTCTTGTGTGACGCAAACCTTTACCTGATTGGCCCTGTCACAGTGATGGGTTTCACGACACATTTTATATTCTAGGCCATCAAAACCCCCGTAACAAAACCTCTATTATGCTCAACAGTTTATTCTTTTCCAAAGTTTGTGCAATCACGCGGAATCCTTTTTGAGAAATCCGATGACCTACGAAGCTCTTTTCACCCACAGATGTCCGGCAATGGGGGGGGCGGCGGAGTGTCCCGTGGTATTTTCTGTTGCCGTGTTCCCCGAGGAGCACCGAGGAGTCGAGCGCTCGTGGGTTTTGTTCCAAGTGGTCCCGGTTCCTTTTGTAGATTCAGGTCTTTTCGCTTTCGTTTCATCGCGAGAAATTGTTTGGCGGGGATGCCGGAGGCTCGGCGGCGGCGGCTGTCCAGCCCCGGCGACCTGCAAACAACAAAGAGAAGTTTAACACGTAGGCTTTCGCGACCAATATTATTCATAATAAAGGTTTTTGGGTTAGATCGCGTTTATTTATAAATGTGTCGTAACCCTCCACCACCCGACACGGCCAATCAGCAAAAAAAAGTGTCACGTTGACAAAAGACAAATAATTCACTACTTCAGCCCACCGGTGTGTTGAAGAGTTAATCCACATTTACAGTTTGAGTACGACGTTTCGCTGGTAAATACTTCCAGCATCATCGGCAATTCGCCAGAATGGTAAAGCCCTCGCTTGCTCCCGGTTTTATATAGAGCAGCAGGGTGACGTCATCACTTAACTCATCAGGTGCAGTTATTAGAGGCGGAGGGGGGGGGTAATGTAATTATATAATCGATTAGTAATCAGTCATTGGTTATGATTAGTAATGAGTTGTAGATTAGTAATTCTTTAAATCAAAATGTAATGTGTATTATTTAATAATACGCTTCCAGGCCGCACTAAGCCGGTAGCTGTCAGAGCGATTAAAGTTATTCTTGTTCCTCTCAATTTCAATGGATTCTCTAATTAGTCTTTGCCAGTAATAATTAGTTTTACACACCACTGCAACATTGTCAAAATCAATTGAGTGTCCTTGTTGACAAGCATGTTCTGCCACTGCCGACAGTTGTGTTTGAGATAATTTAATATTTCTCTGATGTTCTTTTAGTCTTACGCTGATGTTACGTCCCGTCTGCCCAATGTAGCAGCTGCCACATGAACAATTAATCCGATATACACCTTCTGTTGATAGTTTAGGTAATGCATCTTTAGTGCAAGATACTAGTTTTTGAATTTTGTGTACTGTACCAAATCTTACTGTAATGTTTTGCTTTTGCAAAACGCGGGCTAATTTATCAGTTACTCCTGAGATATATGGAATTTTTATTGTTTTAATAATCTGGTCGCTTTCAGTAGTATTGCTTTGCGATCGTGATTTGGCATTCAGTGCTCTGTTAATTTGAGCATTATTGTAGCCATTCTGTCGTAGTGCGTCTTTAACGTGTTTAATCTCTCTCACTAGACTCTCACCATCTGACACTGTTTTTGCCCGATGTACGAGCGTCTTGATAAGAGAGGATTTTTGAGCTGGATGATGATGTGATTCTGCATTCAGATAGGCATCAGTGTGCGTTTGCTTTCTGTAAACGCTGTGTGTTATTTTACCGTTTAGGCCATGTCCAAGCAAAATATCTAGGAATGGGAGTGTGTTATTCACCTCCATTTCCATGGTGAACTGGATGGCCGGGTTTTGTGCATTGAGATGATTTAGAAAATCATTAAGTGTATCTTTACCATGTGGCCAGACAACCAAAGTGTCATCCACATACCTAAACCAAAAGGATGGTTTTAATGTGCTCGAGGCAAGTGCTCTTATTTCAAAGTTTTCCATGTACAAATTTGCTATAGCAGGGGATAAAGGAGAACCCATTGCTGCTCCTTCCTTTTGTTTAAAGAAATCTCCTCCCCATAAGAAGTAAGTGTTATTTAAACAATGGCCAGCAAGTTTCGGAATATCTTTTTGTAAACCGGTATTCTTTACTAGTGTATCAAGTAATTTAAGCGATTCGTCCACTGGAACCTTAGTGAATAGAGAAATCACATCAAAACTTACCAGAATATCATCAGGAGTAAGTTTAATATCTTTAATCACATTCACAAGATGTTCTGAATTTTTTATGAATGAAGATGTCTTACCGATGTAGGGCTGTATTTGTTTGGTTATATATTTTGCTAATTGATATGTGGCAGAGCCAATTGTACTGACTATGGGTCGTAATGGGATGCCGATTTTATGAATCTTTGGTAGCCCATAGAGTCTAGGTGGTTTTGAGGCCCTTGGCTTAATTAGGTATTGCTCATTTTTAGGGATTAATGAATTTGCAATTATTGCAGTGGTCTTACGTTCTAAAGTATTAGTTGGATCTCGTTTAATTTTAATGTAGGTACTTTCCTCTAGTAAATTTCTAATTTTATTATCATAATCGGCTCGTGACATCACTACAGTAGTGCGGCCTTTATCAGCTGCTAGGATTTGGATATCCTTATTTACACGCAGCTCTCTTAAGGCTTTTGCCTCGTTAGAGCTAATATTTACTTTTGGAACTTTGCTATTCTCAATTATTTTAGCAACCTCATGTCTAGTCATCTCTGCCTCATTATGTGGAAGGAGTCTAACTGCAGATTCTACCTCAGCAATTATCTCATCCACTGGAATTGTGCGTGGGGTAACGGCAAAGTTAAGGCCTTTAGAAAGGACAGAGACCATGTCACCGGTTAATACAGTGTTGGTCAAGTTCAGTACAGTTTTGTTTTTACATTTTTGGTTTTCAGTTGGGATTTGTTTATTATGTAGTCTAGAAAATGTATTAATTTGGTTAGTTTTTGTTAGGTTAAACACATTATCAGCCGATTGTTGTGTTATGTTATCGATTATATTCCAATAATGCATAGATACACTATTGCTTATATCTAAGTGTAACTGCTTTAGCGATTCCGAAATGTAAGATAATTCACTCCTATTGTGCTGTATTCTCTCTATTAATAATAATTCGCTAGCTTTGTGTAGTATTTGGTTAGCTTTAGAAGACTTTATGTGATGTGTTATTTTAACTGCGTTTGGTATTACCTTTGAATCTCTGCACCTTTTGAGGAACGCCAGTGAAGATATCAATTTCATCCGCTTAATGCGAAGCTTCTCCATTAGAGAATCCATTGAAATTGAGAGGAACAAGAATAACTTTAATCGCTCTGACAGCTACCGGCTTAGTGCGGCCTGGAAGCGTATTATTAAATAATACACATTACATTTTGATTTAAAGAATTACTAATCTACAACTCATTACTAATCATAACCAATGAATGATTACTAATCGATTATATAATTACATTACCCCCCCCTCCGCCTCTAATCACTGCACCTGATGAGATAAGTGATGACGTCACCCTACTGCTCTATATAAAACCGGGAGCAAGCGAGGGCTTTACCATTCTGGCGAATTGCCCGATGATGCTGGAAGTATTTACCAGCGAAACGTCGTACTCAAACTGTAAATGTGGATTAACTCTTCAACACACCGGTGGGCTGAAGTAGTGAATTATTTGTCTTTTGTCAACGTGACACTTTTTTTTGCTGATTGGCCGTGTCGGGTGGTGGAGGGTTACGACACATTTATAAATAAATGCGATCTAACCCAAAAACCTTTATTATGAATAATATTGGTCGCGAAAGCCTACGTGTTAAACTGACTAACCTCTATGGGGAGGATACTTTTCTTAAAACCAGAAAATTGGAGAAGCTTCGCATTAAGCGGATGAAATTGATATCTTCACTGGCGTTCCTCAAAAGGTGCAGAGATTCAAAGGTAATACCAAACGCAGTTAAAATAACACATCACATAAAGTCTTCTAAAGCTAACCAAATACTACACAAAGCTAGCGAATTATTATTAATAGAGAGAATACAGCACAATAGGAGTGAATTATCTTACATTTCGGAATCGCTAAAGCAGTTACACTTAGATATAAGCAATAGTGTATCTATGCATTATTGGAATATAATCGATAACATAACACAACAATCGGCTGATAATGTGTTTAACCTAACAAAAACTAACCAAATTAATAAATTTTCTAGACTACATAATAAACAAATCCCAACTGAAAACCAAAAATGTAAAAACAAAACTGTACTGAACTTGACCAACACTGTATTAACTGGTGACATGGTCTCTGTCCTTTCTAAAGGCCTTAACTTTGCCGTTACCCCACGCACAATTCCAGTGGATGAGATAATTGCTGAGGTAGAATCAGCAGTTAGACTCCTTCCACATAATGAGGCAGATGACTAGACATGAGGTTGCTAAAATAATTGAGAATAGCAAAGTTCCAAAAGTAAATATTAGCTCTAACGAGGCAAAAGCCTTAAGAGAGCTGCGTGTAAATAAGGATATCCAAATCCTAGCAGCTGATAAAGGCCGCACTACTGTAGTGATGTCACGAGCCGATTATGATAATAAAATTAGAAATTTACTAGAGGAAAGTACCTACATTAAAATTAAACGAGATCCAACTAATACTTTAGAACGTAAGACCACTGCAATAATTGCAAATTCATTAATCCCTAAAAATGAGCAATACCTAATTAAGCCAAGGGCCTCAAAACCACCTAGACTCTATGGGCTACCAAAGATTCATAAAATCGGCATCCCATTACGACCCATAGTCAGTACAATTGGCTCTGCCACATCAATTAGCAAAATATATAACCAAACAAATACAGCCCTACATCGGTAAGACATCTTCATTCATAAAAAATTCAGAACATCTTGTGAATGTGATTAAAGATATTAAACTTACTCCTGATGATATTCTGGTAAGTTTTGATGTGATTTCTCTATTCACTAAGGTTCCAGTGGACGAATCGCTTAAATTACTTGATACACTAGTAAAGAATACCGGTTTACAAAAAGATATTCCGAAACTTGCTGGCCATTGTTTAAATAACACTTACTTCTTATGGAGAGGGGATTTCTTTAAACAAAAGGAAGGAGCAGCAATGGGTTCTCCTTTATCCCCTGCTATAGCAAATTTGTACATGGAAAACTTTGAAATAAGAGCACTTGCCTCAAGCACATTAAAACCATCCTTTTGGTTTAGGTATGTGGATGACACTTTGGTTGTCTGGCCACATGGTAAAGATACACTTAATGATTTTCTAAATCATCTCAATGCACAAAACCCGGCCATCCAGTTCACCATGGAAATGGAGGTGAATAACACACTCCCATTCCTAGATATTTTGCTTGGACATGGCCTAAACGGTAAAATAACACAGCGTTTACAGAAAGCAAACGCACACTGATGCCTATCTGAATGCAGAATCACATCATCATCCAGCTCAAAAATCCTCTCTTATCAAGACGCTCGTACATCGGGCAAAAACAGTGTCAGATGGTGAGAGTCT